TCCCGGAGGCTTTGCCTTCCTTCCAAGGGTGAGGCAGGTGCCTGCAGACTGGATCACCAAGGAGTGACATCCAGGGAAAGGCAGGACAAGGAGCCTCATTTGAGTAATTTACTTATTTCTATCCTCTCTGACCCCCCGGTGTGTTTCTCTGTGTTTTTCCACCTCCCAGGGAGTGGAAAATGTCCCTGCAATCCTGGCTCTCCTGGACTGGGGAGCTGGGCCAGGTTATCGTGGAGCAGCTGATTAAAAGTCAATAATTAGCAAATCTCATGCTCTTGGTGTCTCTGCTCCACCTCAGCTGTGTGGGGCAGGAAAAGGGGATAATGCCCAGAAATAAGGAATGCTGTGGAATAATCAGCTCCTGCTGGCCATGCTGGTGCCTTTCCCACTCTTTCATATACATTTCCCATTGTTACAACTTTGCTGGGAACAAGCTGAAATCACTGAAATGAGGGCAAGCAGGGTTGTTCTGATGGGGTTTAATTGTTTGTAGGGGTGAATTTTGGGCTCTGGAGAGGTTGGAGGCAGGGGCTCTCAGAGCCCTGAGTATCACTGGCATCCCTGGCACCATCCCCAGTGCTGAAAAGGGAGGGAATGTTGGGAAATGGCTCTCTGGCATGGGAATCCACCCGTGATCCCACTCCAAACGCCATGAGGTGCTCAACAATTCTCCTCAATTCTGGTATTTCCCTGGGAAGCAGGTGGTGGCCGTGGTCCTCTGGGAATAACAGGAGCCTTTCCTGGAGATTCATCTCCCAGAAAGCATCCCCCAGAGGGCTCACACCCCTCCTGCCCTGGTTTTCCTTAATTAACTCATTAGGATGTCAGGACAGGGGTGTGAGTCCCTGGGGAGGGACCTGGCGGTGATGGATGGCCAAGCTCAAGAAACGCCCCACGGCTGCAAATCAAGGGTCATTTTAGGGTGAGAAAAGGGAAAAAAATAGGAACTGGGATGATGTAACGCTGAGCCAGGCTTCTGTGGATGCTCCCTGGAGCAGCAGGGCTGAGAGGATGGACAGGGTGCCTTGGTGTTGGTTTTGTGATTATTTGGAGTTGGGGGAATTGATAAAAAACCCATCCAAACAAGAAAGAGGCAACTGTGTGGATTAAAGCTGGAAAGAAGAGGATTAAGAGATTGAAGGGAAAAGAAGTGCAGAGAATGCAGATGGAGGGGATCTTTCCCCTTTCAGCCACTCTGCCAGTGGAAAAAGGGGGAAAAAAACAGATTTTGATAAGCTCTTTAAAAAATTCATGAGGTTTCCATCGTTCTGTTTATTTATTTGTTCTCCTGGGATAAACTCCTGAAATACAACATCCCATTTGTCAACAGGGCATAAATCAGATTGTCCTACGAATAAATTCCAAAACCCAACACTCTGAGACTGTGTTGCTGGGCTGGAATGGGGGGGGGGCATTTTGGGGCAGGAAGGGATGGTTTGGGGCAGGAGGAGATGGCTCAGGGAAGGAGGGAATGGTGCATCCAACCTGGCCTGGAACACTCCCATGGATGGGGCAGCCACAGCTTCTCTGAGCAATCTGTGCCAGGGCCTCACCATCCTTACAGGGAAGAATTGCTTCCTAAAAACCAATTTAAATCTCCCTTTTAGTTTAAAGCTCCTTGTCCTCCGTGAGAGCCATTTGCCCCCTGAATACAAAGCATCGAGCCATGCAGGAATTCATCAGGAATGGGCATTTTGCAATCGATGGGGCTACTATAGGGTGACCTTGGGCTCAGTGCTTAACTTTTCAGGGCTGCTGAGGTCTAAAATGTAATGAAGATTCCTCCCAGGAGTGTCCTGAGTATCTCCTGGTGCTCTATGAGTATCAGAGGCACATCCTGAGCTGCAGCCTCCACTCCCACAGCCTCTGTCACACACAGCCAGCTCAGCACCTTCCCTTAAACTTCAAAAAGATATTTAATTTCCATTTATTTCCACTAATTGATGGATCTGGGTTTGTCTTTCATGTGTTTTTGTAGTTTGCAAGCTGCCTGTTGGAGCACAGCGGGCACCAGCATGTGACTGTGCCCTGTTACCATGAATGGCATCACCAAACCATCACCAAACCCTTCCTCACAGCCCCCAGAATTTCCTCCTGCCCTGAAAACTTCAGGCTTTTGGAGCAAAAGTGTCTGAAGGAGGGAATTTTCATGCCTGATGGAGGGTTTGCCCAGACCTAGCTGGGATCCACCAGGACCCACTCTGGGAGGGCAGCACACCCAGGACTGGAGCATCTGGGATTCAGGGAAATAAATCCTTGATGCCTGCAGCAAATCCATGGGTCATGCATGATTAAATGCCAGAGATAATGGTGATGGATGTA